GCTGTGGATTCTCTGAGCACGTGCACGCTTTGCTGCTCTGATGGCCTGGGACAGGTTGGTCCTTGCTGTTCTCAGGTCAGCCTTATCATCTGACCTGAAGTCAGTGTCTCAGGTTCTCAGCAGCGCGTGCACCTCTGCAGTCATCCATGATTTCTGGTTGGGGCATGTGACGATGGAGACAGTAACATTGTCAATGCACTTGCTGATGTAGCCGGTCACCGACACTTGTACTCCTTCAGGTTGGTAGCGCCGCAGTGGGTTGCAGCTTCCCTAAATATGTCCCAGTCAGTGTGCTCAAAACAGTACTGAAGCACAGAGATGGCTTCTAGAGGCTAGGATTTCGGCTGCTTCGGAACAGGCTTGGCACGTCTGACAAACATATGCTGGGATCAGCATAACAGAGATGTGGTCGGAGTCGCTGAGGTGGGGGCAGGGTTCAGCACGGTATGCACCAGTAATGTTTGTGTAAACACAGTCCAGAACATTCGTCCCCTTGGTTGCAAAGTTCACATAACGATGAAATTTATGGGGAACTGACTTGAGATTTGCGTGGTTGAAACCACTGGCTACAATAAACCCTCCTCTTCCACTCTTCATGAAATCTTGCCCCTCTCTCTCCAATTGGGGTCCTAGTGCAGAATCCCAATCAGCTCACAGTCATTGCTTGACTGACACTGGGTACAGGTTTGGGCACATTTCAGCAGGTTCAACCAAACTATGCTTTGTGCACCTCACTTTAAACTTGCACAGCCTCATCCAAAGAGAACGGAAGGAGAGGAGGTCCTCAATGTACTCTTTCCACGGCTAAATCCTCAGGTCAGCAGTGCTCCATCCCTGCTGCAAACCGCATGGGCAGAGCCCCACTTCCTCCTCCTGAGTCGATTGACAGTTTTCCAGAGTCTCTTGGAGGCTGACCAAAAGTCACCAAACTGAGTTTTTGCTTCAGCAACTGCCAAAGCCGCTTTCCACTTGACCTGCCAGCACCTGTCAGCTACCTCTGGAATCAAATAAGCTAACCAAGCTCAGAAAGCTGCCTTCTTCAGCCTGACGGCTCCCTTTACTGCTGGTATCCGCCAATGGGTTCCCAGGATGCCATTGCAACAGGCAGCAGCATTCTTACGGCCATAGCTCTGCATAACCACTTTAATAATGGAGGCACGGAACATTGCCCCTTCAGGCTCAATGTCTCCAGCCTGCCTCTGAATACAAGACAAGTTCTGCTGGAGGTGAGAGTTTAGGATCTCCTGGACAGAGGCCTCTGCTAGATGCTCCCAGCATGCCCCCACTATGGGTTTGGGTCTACCAGGTCTGTACAGCATTTTCCCCCACCATCTGATCCAATTCACCACCTGGTGGGGATTTGCTGACAGCTCAGTTCCACTCTTCACCAGAGTGTCCAAGACATATTTTCAGAGATCAGATGATATTAATACAAATTCTACCACCAATCTATAGCCTAGGGTGCTCTGGTTCCAGGTACACTTATGAACACTCTTATGTTCAAACATGGTGTTTGTTATAGACAAACTGTGGTTTGCAGAGAAGTCCAATAACAGAACACTGCTCGGGTTCAGATCCGTTCCTCCCAATCACACCTGTCCAGGTTTCACTGTCACCACCCATGTGAGTGTTTAAGTCCCCCAGTAGAACAAAGAAGTCCTCAGAGGTTGCGCCTTGCAGCAACCCCTCCAAGGTCTCCAAGAAGGCCAGATACTCTGGGTTGATGTTCAGTGCATACACACACAACAGTCAGAGGTCCTCCCCAAACTTGAAGTCGAAGAGAGACGGCCCTCTCATTCAATGGGTTGAACACCAACGTACTGGCAATGGACCGGTGGGCTATAAGTACAGTAAATGCACACCTGCCCACCCCCAACTCTTAGCAAGGGCAACTCCAGAGTGGAACAGAGTCCACCCCCTCAGGAGTCTGGTTCCAGAGCCCGAGTCATGCGTTGAGGTGAGCCTGAATATATCTAGACAGTATTGCTCTACCTCCTGCACCAGCTCAGACTCCTTTCCCACCAGAGAGGTTACAGTCTATGTCCATCTTTCATTTTCCACAAAAATTTTAAAAAATTATGTAATCTCATTCTGCTAATCTGCGCTAGCAAGTATGGCAAAATCTCCAGTCAAAATTCCCACATCAATGCACCACTGTTTTTAGTATAACATCCATACCACACTTCATAAATACAGACGTGGACAAATTTGTTGGTACCCTTCCACAAAAAACAATCTCTGAAATAACTTAAAACTGACAAAAGTTTAATGGCATCCCTTATTGTTTATTCTATATTTTACACAAATCAGAGTTTGCTTTTGATTATTGATTCAGTTTAATATAATTAAACAAATGAAAATGGCATGGACAAAAAACATGGTACCCTTAATTTAATATTTTGTGGCACTACTTTTGCAGCAATGACTGCCAACAAGCGATCTCTGTACTTCACAATGAGACGTCTGCATTTGCCAGCAGGTAGTTTGACCCACTCTTCCTGGGCAAACTGCTCAAACTGTCTCAGGTTTGAAGGGAGGCGTCTCCACACTGCAATTTTCAGATTTTTCCAAAGATGTTAAATAGCATTAAGATCTGGGCTCACAGAGGGCCATTTAAGAATAGTCCAATGCTTTTTCTCAGCCATTCTTGAGTGCTTTTAGCTGTATTTTGGGTCATTTTAGCTGTATTTTGGGTCATTAACCAGTTGGAGGACTCATGACCTGTGACTGAGTCTGAGCTTTCTGACACTGGGCTATATGTCTCCCTCCAGGATGCCTTGGTAGTTCTGAGACTTCATTGTGCACAGGTTCAAGGTTCCTCATGCCAGATGCAGCAAAGCAGCAAAACAAATCCGAGCCCCCTCCATGTTTCACAGTAGGTATGATGTTCTTTTCTTTTAAAGCTTCATTTTCCCTTCTGTAAACATCGCACTAATGTGACTGGCCAAAGGAGGCTCAAGTTTTGTCTCATCAGTCCAAAGGACATTCTCCCAGAAACTTTGGGGCTTGTTAACATGCGTCTTGGTGAATTCCACTCAGGCTTTTTTTTTCTGACAATAGTGGATTATTATTCAAAAAGCGACGGATGGCACAATCAGAAAGTGACGTACCTTGACCTTGCAGCTCAGCTTGAATGGTTTTGGATGGTTTCCTTGGCTCTTTTTCTACCATCCGCACTGTCCTTCTGATCAACCCGGGGTTGCATTTCCTCTCGCGTTCACGTCCTGGGAGGTTGGCTACAGTCCCATGAACCTCATACTTTTTAATAATATTGCCAGCTGTGGTCACAGGAACATGAAGCTGCTTGGAGATGGTCTTATAGCCGTTACCTTTAACATGGTTATCTATAACCTTCTTTCTGAGCTCCTCAGACAGCTCTCTCCTTTGCTTTCTCTGGCCCATGTTCAGTATGGTGCACACAATGTTATCAAACAACACAGTAGCACATTCTTTCCCGTTAAATAGGCTGAATGGCTGATGAAAAGCTTGAAGGCACCTGTGATACTAAAGTTTGAAATATGACTACAATGCAAGGATAAATAGTCTCTTTAGGGGACCAACAAATCTGTCCATTCAATTTAATCACTTTTCAGGAGAAATGAACCATTGTTTCAGAGTTGTAAGGGTTCCAACAAATTTGTCCACATCTGTATGACTTAAGTGCAGCTTTTCTCTACAGCGCCACTTCAGCTTAGTGCAAAATCCAGGAAACTACATAACAGAAAAATGTCCAACATCCAAAATGCCTCAAAAAAAAAAATTAAAAAATTAGGGGAGCGTGTCACAAGTGAACAAATGTATTAATGATAGGCTACTGTAATGGAAAGAAACTCAAAAGAATTGATGCACTGAAAATAATCATGATTTCAATCAATGAATGAATCAATGAAAGTTACATTTATATAGTTCTTTTCAAAACACCCAAAGCGCTTTACAGAACCAATGGGGAGCCACTTCAACCAGCACCACTGTGTAGCCCCCACCTGTGCCATTCTGTGACAGTAGATAAGGTAGTGAAGGGGCAGGAGAGAATTCACCAGTTAGTTATAGGGGTTGATTAGGAGACCAGATTTGAAAGGGCAACTGTAGGCAATTTTAGCCAGGGTATCACCTCTACTGTGTCAAAAGATGCCCATGGATATTTTATGACCTCAGAGAGTCAGGACCATGATTTTACATCTCATTGAAAGGACAGCACCATTTTTACAGCACAGCGTTTCTGTCACTGCACTGGGGCATTGCAATCAACACTCCACCTGATGGCCAAACCAACACCTCTTCCAGCAGCAACCCAGCTTTCATAGCTGACCTCCCATCCAAGCAGTGGCCAGGCCAAAACCTGCTATGCATCATGTGGATTACCTACCCTGAACTGCGGGTGGTATGGCTGCTGGTGCTACGTGACGAAGCTGCGTGTACTGGTGATATATGCAATGTTCTGCACACAGTAAATACCCTTTGGTTTTGTGCGCTGCTCTCACGTACTGACACCAATGGAGGTCCACAGACCAAATTTATTTCTTTCCTTGTACCATTCAGCACTGACGATTAAGTTTCACTGGCTGTGTGCTGAATTACAATCATGAAGATGTGCACCTGTTTGCCATTGCCTACAGACAGTGTATAAAAATACAAAATACTCGCACCTTGATTCACCTTAAACATTTTGGAATGACAGCAGAATACGTTTAATAAGATTTCATCATTTTATAGATTTTTGGAGTAATACAGTAGATTTATTTACCATTTGATTAATTGCTGCTGATCTTTACCTTTCATAATACTGTCACGTGGAATTGCATCACAAGGAATATTGTGTCAAAATGCCATTTAACCCTGAGCAAGATTCAAACAAATTGTGGATATAAATTGTAAAGTGCAGTGGAACTTCCTACTCAGCCGATAACTTGTTTTTTTTAAATTAAGGTCCCACATAACACGTTCAGTGTAAGAATTGGTCAGAAGGTGGCGCCAACGATTCGGCTGCAATAACAACCGACGCAAAATCTCCGCGGTGCGCCAAGCATCCGACGACCTCTGCAATGTAAGACTTGTGAGCTGAATTTTTAAAAGCCTTACCTTCATTAATTTGGGAATGCCGTGCTTCTTATTGGTCTTTGTGAGCTGATATCAAATTTTCCACAATCGCATTGAGAATCGATTTCTTACATTTCACTTTAGAATGGAGGATCAGATCAACATTTTGTAATATCAAAGGGGCAAACAGAAATAACAATTTTTGCCAAACATTATATATAGGAGTTTAATACGTAATTATACTGTATAGCCTACGAAAATTTTGCAGAATTGCAAAAACAGTTGTTCGGTGTTTCTGTTGTATAACACTGCATTATACTGTACTTGATTTATTTTTAGCCGACTATACCTTTTAATAATATATAAAAACACGACAAAAACCGCGAGAACAAAGAGTTGGCATAATACGGCTTCTTTAATCATACTGTAGAAGTACTAGATAATTCAAATGATTATTTTATTGATAATTCCGTTTTTGTTTTTTCTCCAATGAAGGCAGAGAAACCCAAGACATTCTTTGTACTACAGTTCCTAGCAATCCTGGGAAGCATGAATTTGCCCTGTTAAATGCGCGCGCAATCAATCGATCTGTGTAGATCGCTTCATATGGAAAATTGCGCCCCCACCAATACTCATTAACAGTACATTCAACGCGCATGACCAAGCCCTTTTGTGACCTACAAAGTGATCTTGGCTTGTATGCATATCTGAATCAATCGAGGCCTCTAAAAAGCTAAAGTTTATCAAAAAGACTACTTTTTATTTACAATAAGGGGAAAGGGAAAAAACGACATAAGTGTCTAAACACTAACGCAAAAAAACCAAACTAAGCTCATTTGAGGAAAAGAGTGACCGAATATGAATAGCAAATGACAATAACTGTAATACATAAAATCTAAAAATATATAGCTTACAGTAGAGACTGATGCTACGAATACACCTGTACGGTCACTCACCGACCTACCTGCTGCAGACGCTGGCGCGCAGCGGCGGTCTATTACAAGTGAGCAGCCAATGACATTGCAGCGGGGCGGGGCCACGGCAGTACTACAGTACTGCGGGCTCCCGCGGTACATCTGTATGAAACACACGCTGGAAGTCAAGGCGGTCAATGGATTACACAGTGTCCCTTCAAGTGCATCATCAGCTGACGGTATTCCCCAACAGCTTGTACCACGGCTACAGTTTGGAGTTACAGGTATGATTCGTGCTTGCTTAAGTCTTCTAACACATCACCTACCACATCACTAATGTTTGCAATTAATAATACTCAAACTGTCATCCTTCTACCAACTCAAGGGGGACAAGAAATAATATTTAATGTATAAGCCTTCTCACTGTGTCTATCATTCAGTTTTCATGTGGAAATGAACTTTCTAAAGAAATGTTTGTGTTTTTTGCGCAGATACTGTCACGTATTATATGATGCATAGTAAACAATAAACAGACAACATTCAACGACTGAAATCAAGAAGTTAGCTCCAAATGTTATAATTATCATCTAACACGAGGTGCACCTATAGGACGCTTTTTTCCTTCTCATCTTCATTTACGCTCTGGGATGTACACTAAATGCATATTAATATGCTGCCCACGGGTGCGGACCTAAATTCCACACTCGTGTTAAACCCTGTTTAAAGTACTTAACACTGAGTCGTACGTGTGACCTGGTTAGTGTTTTTTTCGTATTTCGTAGTTTACGGAGGTTACGATCACGGCAGGTAGAGCGCGCATGCGTCATGTTCGTTCGCACGAGTTAGCGTTTAGTTGTTTACGGGGCTTCCGTTAGTCATCAGTGATATTTTAACGTAGATTTGTGAGTAAATGGTCGAAAAGGCTTTGTTTTATACAGAGGAAATCACTGGAAATTATCCAAACGTATTCTGTATTAAAATCAGTGTAGCCTGTTATTTAATGATAATTGGGCAGCCAAGAGAGTGGATGTGTATGCTTGCGTATTAGAGGTTACTGGACGGCTGTGATCTGTCGCACGTATCACATCAAATTCATGTCAGTAACCTGTTCCGCGTTTAAAATAGGGGCCATGAGTATCTGCTGTCAGGAGATGCCGAGGTTTCCTTCTTTATATTCCGCCCGACCTTCTCCAAGCACCTGAGGACACGCCGCCTGCAGATTGTCCTGTGTGACCTAAATGAAACGTTTCAGTCTCCAGATCGCAGGCGGGTCACGCGTTTAACGAAGATGACAGACTGTGGCTGGTTTTTCTTCGAGTAAATCACCTTGGACCGTGCGCCTCTTATTACTGCCCATAAACCAATGAAAGTCGCGTTCACCTGCTGTAGGACAGATGACCTCAGCCGGGGAACTCGATTTACTTCTCTCAATATCTATCTGCCAAAATACATGAGTTATACGCCATTATTATAATCGGCGCCAGGCGACAAAGTACAAGTTTATACTTTAAATGATTAAGGGTGAAAAATAACCTCTCGCTTTAATGTTCATGTAGTATATATTTTTGCATGCGAATCATTTCGATATCTCAATCTTCAGCTGTGCCGTACGATGAATGCTTAGTCAAAGCATATTCCCCAGGAGAAAAAAAAAGTTTCAAGGTTTTTTTTAGCGCTTTTTGAGTTTTCCTGACAACACTGGCCAGGTTATTAGCTGTGACTCCTCATTCTCCGCCCACTGGTCCGACAGCGTGATGCTCAATTTGGAGTCGGAGCTCCGAACCCCCGGTCAACTGTACGCTATATGGTTTTGCAGAGGGGTTGGTTAATTTTCGGAAATAAACTGTATATTTTCAGTTTTCATGTTAAAGCGTTCTGTTTGCATTTGGGAAAATGGAAACGGTTATACTTATGAAATCGTCGATCGACCTGCCCCTCGAAGACCGTTTCACTGGATTTGGAACCGCTATTTTAGGGGAGCGTTTCGAGCGACGGACTTCGATCTGCACTATGACAGCGCCCCCTGGGATCCCCGGCGTGTGCTGTCAGTGCTACTCCAATGGCTGTCGAGTTTCTCATTTAGAAACCTCCACATTCGCGGTTGTACAGTATTTCATCAGTCAGTCGAAACAACTTGCTATACCGCTAGATGTGCGTTAGGAGAAGTTTCCGAAGATTTTAAAATCCCGGTACTATTTATGCTAGCTGCCCCGTCACCCAGGGACGTTTGGTGGGTGGCGTTTGCTATCGCCCAGGGCATTAGGGTGTCTTGACAAACCACCACCACCTTTTAAATTTGAACCGCAGTTAAAGTGTCTTTCTGGACACTGAAATATAACGGCCACTTGTGCAAAGCTTGCTCTTTTTTAGAGCTAGGTATGAGTGTGGACCTTCTGTTGGTTGTTGTGGTAATATTTTAAGTCTGTGCAAAAAAAAAAAAATCGGACTCACTTGTTCATCACTTTGGACAAAAGCTTCTGCTAATTAAATCTTTCAAGCAAAACAATAAATGAACAAGGTAACTATTCAAATCAGGAGACAAAGTGCATCCTGAGAAAACTGGTGTGGGCTAGCAGAGGTGTCCTTGGAACAGATGGGTCTTGAGATTCTTGAAGGTGGAGAGGGAACCTGATGACTGGACTTGGTTTGGCAGTTCTGTTTATTGTGATGAGATTGCCCATCACTTTTCTGGCTTTTACATATGCCTAGTAATGTCACTGGATGACATAAGATCTTCTATGAGATCCAACAATTCTGCTGTACTCCGAGAGAAAAGTCTAAATTCAGTCCAAACACCAGCCATTGAAAGATGAAAATGTCAGTTCTTGCCTATAAGCTGAAATGTGCTGGTGAGCACACACTTCAGACATGAGCACAATATGAAGTAAAGGCTAGCCGTGCAGTATTTTCTGTGGAAAACTGCCTAGGAGCCTTTAAAAGTCTTTAAAATTCTGCAATAAAGCCCTAATGTAAAGTGTAAAGACCCACTCTTCACACATCATGTGATTTACCCACTGTGGACAGCCCATAATAGTGTGTTTATTGATTTTTTGAAAGGACTTTTCGATGACGGTTAATGGTATTTCACTCTAGGTAGCTTTGTGTGTTTATCCTCTGGAGATGGAGTCATCGTGAGCATAGCCTAGCTATTCTCAGCAGGGAAGCCAACCATGCAGGGAAAATTTAATATCCCATTTAACCAGTACTCAGCCCATTGCTTTTCCCACCAGACCTCAATGTGTCTGTGTGGTGATCTTGAGAATTACAGAAGGGTTGAGAAAATTAGCATGCTTGATGCTCAGATCGTCTTCCAAATCGATAGTGATAAAGTGTATCAATTTGCAATTGGGTTGATAGTGACACAACTGGGCTCAAATAGTTTGGAGAAAGCAGTTTAATTGTTGTAAGATTGGTCAAAGACATGGATACAAAGCACCCAAAACCAGACTGTCCTACGTATACTACAGGGTTTTTCCACCCGACGGTTCCTGAGTCTGTTGGACAAGATACTGCATGAATCAAATAAATGCTGCTAGGTCTCTGGAACAGTGTGAAAGGGTTACGGGGTGTTGGGGCGTAACCTCAATGTTAAAGATACTGCTGTGTGCCATGTCGCCTCACACTGAATCACCTAACTGCATGGTTTACATATTCTGGCACTCATACTATATATGTGCATGTGTGTCTGTCAGTGTGAATGGATGGATGATGAATTCTCAGGGCAGATGTGTTTTCATTGTGAAGTGTTACATAAAAGGAAGTTTGGCTATTTTTTCTTGCCTGCAGGTGGTGGCTGTTTTTTCCCTGCTGCTCCTCTTTGGCAATGAAATAAATGTCCCGCCGTTTCTGGACAGAGAAACCATCTCCCAATCCCTTCCTTTCTCCTATATATTTGTCTCCCTTCATATTGTGCTCTTATGTGTGTGTATTGTCTGATCTTTCATTTTGGCTTGCTTTATTTATATTTACAATAAATAAACAAAAAACTTCTATAATTTGCCCAGGGGCCTGTTTCACAAAGCAGGATTACTTGCTTAGCCAGATAACTTGCCAGATTTAAGGTAGTCTGGGCTAAATGTAAGTTGATGAAAATAAGGTCTATTTAGCCCAGACCACCTTAAATCTGGCAAGTTATCTGGCTAAGCAAGAAATCCTGCTTTGTGAAACAGACCCCAGGTTTGTGATGAGAGGAGGAGCCAGAAGTCAATCAAAAACCAGAACAAAGCATTTAAAGACGAAACTAAAACAAACAAGATGGCAACACAGGATCCTCAGAATCAACGAGGCTGGGCCTCAGGCTGAGCCTGCTGCTCAGTGTATACCGAGCCTGGGACTTCTTAAGGACCATGTCCCATGCTTTCCAGGTGAATCAGATGCAACATGTATTTCCATGTAGTCAATGGCTTATTTTATGGACTTAGAGAAAAGATAGAGACACCGAATGGTCTGTCCCAGAAGGGAACTGCTAAAATTGCTTTGAATGAGGCACTTGCCCTGTCATGACCAGTACAGAGAGTTTGGCCTTCACAACAAACAGGACACCTGCAATCCAGTACAGGACTAGATAGTCCTTCCACAGTGCCACCTTTTCTGTCCCGTACATTGCAGGAAACATTTAACCAACAAGACCTGGGTCTCCTGGCTGCATAGGTCAGTCCAGGTCTCCAGGATAAACAGACTTTGTGAAGCAGAATGTTCGGTGTAACATCCCCTGAATTACACGGTAAATATCCTGCTGTTTTCTGTGTAAGCAGCAGCTGTATGTGTGTTTAGTCACGGTGTCTCACGTCAGGTCTTTGCTGGAGGTTATCATCAGACTGTCAGGAGCAGAGCCATGCTGGGCCTCCACAAGCCTCGCTAAGCAGTGAATCACAATTAAATTGGGATTTGGGCCGGGTTGGCTTTCTCGTGTGGGCGGGTCATGAAGTAAATCTTGCCATCATGTCTCCTGCCACAAGGCATTGACTCTGACGAGTTATTGGTGTCCAGACCCTCGTGCTCAAATTAATCACAATGGTTTATAGATATCTAATGCATTTTGATGAATGCTCGTATGGCAAGTGACCACGCCCACTCCAGATGGCCTGGCACGACGTCCTGACTGGCGGAAAATGACGGCGTGTTGTCACAGGGTCCCCAGCGGTGCGTGACTCATACCTGGAGTGGAGCCAGCCTTTCCGTTCACAGTGCTAACTTACCCCTAACCCTTCTTACAGCGGTCCTGTAATTTGGTTATTGTCCCTCCAATACCCTTCACTTCATCAACCCCACCCAGATATTTTTG